GTGTAGCAGACTGCTGCCAGTGGCCACCTCTGGGGAGTAGAGCAGGAATAGGAGTGAGGGTGGGAAAGGAGGAAGAATTTCGTATTTTATTCTATCTGCTCCTGGACCAAAACCTTTACAACAATACCGTATGCATGATTTACTCATTTTGTAATTTTAAGAAAAAACCCAAATGGAAAAATTATCCTGATGGTGCCCATGACTATAAAAACAGAGAATTTTGCCCTAAATCCAAAGCAACAAGTCCCTACCTGTGATTCAGCACTAGAAAACACACACATATACCCCCTAAAACAGATAAAGTATCTGACTTGACTTGACTTGTGGAATCATATCGTATAAAGACACGTCTTTAAATATTCTAAAATCACATTTAGTGCTATGAGATGCTAGGTAGAGTGCGTGACATCACAGCTCACAGCAGCCTCAAACTCTTGGGCTCAGGAGATTCTCTTGCCTCAGCCTCCTGAGTAGCTGGGACTACAGGCTCCCACCATAATGCTTGGCTATTTTAGAGACAAGGTCTTGCTCTGGCTCAGGTCTCAAACTAATGAGCTCAGGCAATCCACTCGCCTCAGCTACCTGGAGTACTAGGATTACAGGCGTGAGCCACCAAAGCATGGCCTTGCATGTGGTCTTTGAAAGAAATAGCACTATTTATCTATTGGACAAGGTGCCTCTTCCTGTAAGCAAATCCAGTAAGGTGATTTGCTTACTGTCTAGCAGTTCCCAACCTGTCTTCTACACCCATCTGCTCTGTGACATTGGGCCAGGACTCCCAAACTACATTTCCTAGGCTCCTTTGCTGGCTTCTACTTATGTTCCAACAAAAGAAGGCAGGAGATGGGAAGGGACTTCCTATCTGTCCCCACCTTCTGCAGGCATCACTCCAGCAGCACCCAAGGGGCCAAGGGCAGCCTTGGCCCCAGCCTTCACTCCAGCTCCTTTCAACAGCTCATGCTGCCGGCCGCAGAGAGACCGGCACCAGCTGACCTCACCTGCCTCCTGGTCTGAGCACAGGCTGTCCCTCAGCCTTTCTTCTGAACTCTCCCT